TGGACCTTAGGGTCAAGCGTAGGCCGTCTGCCCTCACCAGTCGGTACAGTTTCGGATGCCATCTCGGAAGTACTCTCCCCACAGACGGCGCCAAATATTTCGGGGTTTTTGGAGTCCCTCGGGAGAGTTACAATTCCAAGAATGCGCGTCGACCGTCTGTACCTGCAAAACAACGAAACTCCGGTTGGGTGGAGTTCCGCCTCCGACGATCAAGTTAGATTGATTCCGGATGTATAAATGTGCGGAAGGTAAATGGATTTTCTCTCTGATTCAGAGAGAATTCTGCAATTAATATTGCTCGGTTTTTTGTGTTTGTATTATGAATCTCCAATAAATGAGGATTTTCCTCTATTTATAGTGGAAGAAGATATGTTCCCCTATTAGGGTTACAGTGCCACGTGTCAGCATCCGATTGGATCCCATTGGGCCTCTCTGGGGGGCTGACACGTGTCAGCTTGCTATTGGGCCACGTGGCATAGGGGATTTTTACCCCAAACAGAGGAGAATCTAAACAGATCATATTTAATTATATTTTATCTTATTTATAAATAGCAAACGACAAAAATTATTAGTCTTTGACTCTTTGTCGCTATTGGGGATTGATCCTAGGATCAAAAATCTCTAACAATGAGCTTCAAACCACTGTGGCAAATATTAAATACATTTAAATTTGCAAACAAAAAAGTATTTATATTAAAAATAGCTAGGGGTCAACAATAAAAATAGTAAGCCGCGAAATTGAGTCATAGGGGCCGGGCCACCACCCGCCCCCCATGTGCCTCCGCCCTTGCATATACTCCCTCCGTTTTTTTTATAAGTTAGAGTTGAGATTTTCCACCATTCATAAGTCATCATAAGTCATCATTGACTTAATTTTTTTACCAAAAATATAATATATAAATATGATTATATAATATGTTAGAATTGTCATAATGTCTACTTTTATAAAATATTTTTTTCATAATTTTTACCAACCTCTAATTAAAAATAATGATGGTTGAAATTGTCTTGGAAAATGTGCAAATCCAATTCTAACTTATAAAAAAATATAGAGAATACATATGTTAAAAACTCTATCACCTGACTTGATTCTATCCGACCCGGTTTTAAAGTAACCGATTCAAATTTCAACCTTTTACTATTTCTTATAAATCAAAGTGGAATTACTTTTGTTCACTTCAATTGAGTAACATGTGGAATATCATACTTGTATATGGGAAGGTTCAATATTAAAATATCTCAATAAAAGTTATAATGTTATGAATTCTGTATTTGTTTGATCTATATGCACGCCATTCGTCTAATCTATAAATTTATAAATTTGAAGTATAGTATACACAAACCATCTTTAAGAAATATATTTTATCAGCTATCTTAAGTGGAACACAAATACTTCACTCATTGCTTGGGAGTAAAGATCAATGACTTTTTCAAATGACAATTAACGATGTGAAAATCATTTTATGCAAATGCCTTAGGAAGGACTCTGAACATATTTTTAATAAGTTAAACCTACATTATTCGAGGCAAAAAGCTTTAATAATTTCCATCTCATAATTGAAAACGATTGAACATGTATATGTATGAGGCGCACCCAGTTCATTTGCCAAATGAACAATACCTTGTTTATCTGGGGGTATTTTTGGCTTTTCACTTGAAAGTCAGGGGTACATGCGTAAATTGGTACATACTTCTTTGGATGGCCATTTAACAGCCGTTGAACAATTAAAACTCCCGTTTGTTGCATTCTTCTTCTTCCTCCATTGAAACTCATTTCTTCTTCTTCCTTCCCCGATCTCCACCAACACCACCATCTCCGGCGGCTTCGCCGCCAAATAAAATGAAAACCCTATGAAAAAGGGAGTAATTAAGGGTATGGCGAACCCCTAAGGGTAAGGTTGGCCTCGTCTTCCATTAGAATCCTCCATTGAGGTCCTCCATTAAAGCTAATTTTCAGCTTCAACTTTTTACCCCAAAGTTCAAAATCTAGTTTCTCTCTCCTAACCCATGGATGGCAAATTTATGAAATGGATGTTAACGGATAAAGTTAACTTCTGTCATTTGCTATATTGTTGTTATTGTCAACTACACATGCAAGTTGAATAAAGTAAACTTCCAACTAAGCAATAATATGAATAAAATAAGGAATATATAGTACAACAATATTTACAAGTTTGCCATCAAGATTAATAATATTTGTTTATCTTGGTGATAAACTTGAATTTTCTCGTATATGTATTGTTCTCCTTAAGGATTCGCAAGCATTTAATTTCTCTCCTTCTAGTGATGAAAATTGTTGGATAGGAATTGCTTCCTTAACATTTTCGTTGAGCTGATGCATTACAGCAACAAAAATTTCCCTTCTCTGCTTCTGAGCTTCTCATCATGGGAAAAGCCGCTATTAGTATACGATCACTTTCAACTTCCACATGAAACACGTTAATGAAAAAAGGTCATCCATTCCAAACACACTCTATAAGGCCAAAGCTTCAGTAATGTCAGAAACATAACATGCTTGAAATTTTCTTGAAGACACCAACAAATACAACAATCTCGTAATCTCACATCATCTCCCTTCTATTTAATCCACTTCGAGCCTCACACCATATACATTCACTTCATCACATTCATTATTGGCTTAAACCATTTAGTTTTTTGGGAAGCAACGGCAAGAGCCTTTCCCTGGTCACTAATATTCTGAAGATATCGGTCACTATTGGCATCAAGCGCACGAATGTGACAAATCATAAGGGCCTCCAATAGCTCCTTCCTGTAAAAAGGATTTATTGCCTATGAATGAGAATTCTTCTTAGAAACAAAATTTAGGACACCATGCATACAAACAAAAGCTTAAAGCAAATGAAGTTTCAAAATACTACCTATTTCTTTTAAATCTATTAATCTACTTATTTTGACTTTTTACATTTGTCAGCAAGAAACTTTGACCACTAATATCTTTAATTATCAATAATTAAACATCATAAAAAGTTGACATTTAGAGACTATAGGTTGAGATATTTCTAACAAGATCCTAAATTATTACGATTTTCTCAAGAGAACCACTAATATTAGTCAAAGTGGAGCATGTGAATAGCACAAAAGGTTAAAATGGGTAAATGAAAAGAAAAAATGGAAGGAGTAACACTTGTGAAAAAAGTCGTCCTTCCCATCAATGCACAAGTCATACAAACATACTTCCAACACCTCATGTTATAATGTTTTAGAGGGTCTTATTATGTTTAGAATGACATAATAGTGAGCTCTCAACTAAATGACAAAAATATGAGAGCGAGAGGGGTGATGGGACAGAAGAGAAGTTGAAAGCGCTAACAACAGATAAGCATTCACCAACAAGACCAGACAGACCGGCTATTGCAAGAACTCACAAGTGTCAGCATGATTGATGAGAGGAAATAGTATATTTAGCTATTCATTAGTGTGTTAGATAACAAACAGCTAGGTAAACAGCCACTCAGTATTCCTCTCTACATGTTATCTATTAAGTCACTAGTATGTAACACTTAAACCCATAACAAACTGCTAAACACTTACAGATAACAGCTGCAGTACTACCCCCCCAGGGCGCCTCCCCTCTTGCAACCATCTCCCACAAGCCCCATTCATAGCGTCAACCATAACTCCATAAGGGCAAGCATCTTAGGGCAAAATTCAAGCCACCAAAGATTTTCAAGTGGTATTCTCCTCTTTTTTTGGGGAAAAAAAGTACCTTTTCGGCCCTTTCCTTTTATGAACTTCAAATTTCCCTAAATCTCTCATACAGGCACTATTTGTGTCTTCCACATTAGTCTCCACCATTAAATCTTTCCTCTCTTTTCCTCTTCCCCAGTTACCTAAATGATCCAAAAACTCATCTAGCTTATCAATTCTCACCAAGAAAGAAAGAAATACAAAATTAGAAATTTAGAACCCACAAAGAACCAAATTTCTATCCCCAACAGTGCCTGCTCAACCCTATAAAATTCCCATTCCACACATTTCCAAGTTGGATTAAAGGTTAAAAAAAAAAGGAAGAAGAAGAAGAAGAAAAGAAGAGAAGAGAAAAAGTGGCACCCAAAAATGTGATATTAAGGCCAGATGAGTTTGGGATGAGGATTTAGTGATCTGCGAGATGTTATTAATATTATTATGAGAAGAAATACTTCAAAAATTTGCAGCTTTCTGATGGTTTCCCTCTATGAAGTTGGTTGTATATAATATATGCAGGGAAGCTATGTTGTAAAGGGTCATGATATGACATATTGATATGGTTCCTTCTTGACTGCCCTACCTTTGAAGTAAATATGATAAGCTATGTATTCAATAGATATAACCGGTAAACAAAATATAATAGCCTACAACAGAGATTCAGATGTATTTCAGCTAAGCTACACAAAGATCTATGATGTGCAAGCTAAGAATCCATATTACAGAAGCCCTAATTCCATTGTACCATTGCATCACCAAAACTCTCCACACAATTTTAAAATATTCAACATACCCAACAAAGGCCTCCAACCCATGACATTCAACAAAAGCATGTTGGATAACATCCCACAAGCCCTGTTTTCCAGAGAGGTATACAACAAAGAGGTTAAGGCACAACAGTGTGATAAGAAAGAGTAATGATTGCACTAAGCATGTGACACGGATTTACAGCATTCTTAAATCTCGGAGAAAGGGAAGTAGAAGCAGCTAAAAGGTTAATCACCTAGACTTTGAAAGACCATGAACAAGAAAGGGGGACGTATTGGAATGAGCGAATGAAAAAGAATGATGGACCATTTCCCTTATTAATCCCAGCTATTCATAGTATGGATACTATGGAATCAATAGCTTCACTCAAGCATAAGCCTCATCATCAAAACTGATCTCATTTTCCAATCACTTCACTGATCACACTCTAAGAAACCAAAAATAAAACCACTAAGGACCCATCATCACTATGGATTTCAGTTCGGATTACAATTTTTTGTTCTATGATATGAAAATTTGTATGACTAACGGGCTTGAAATTAGTCATACTTAAACTAATCATGTTTACTTCACTGTTAACGTACGAGCCCTAATTATTCATACCCAAAAATCAAAATTCACAAAGAAATCAACCAAATCAACACCATCAAACTTCCCACAAAAATCCCACAATTTCAAACATCCTAAACCCACAAAATCATCATAAATGTCAACTAACTATAACAAAATTCAAATCCAAAATCAAACTTTCAACACAATATAAAACCATTGAAATTACTAGCAAATAGAAAAAGAGGGATAAAAATTTACCTCAACATGAAATTCATGTTTTCGAAATCTTGTCCAACAAAGCCTGAGCAAGATTAGCAAACCCATCAACCTGAGAATACTTACTAATCAAATCCACCACATTTTCCTTCTCTTTCAAATCAACCAAATCAACTAAATAATACAACCCCGCAATCGCATACTTGACCGTATTCCTCACCGGACTCGAAAGACAGTCAATCAACGCCGCAACACCGCCGCAATCACAAACAATCTGAGCATTTTGTGGGTCAGCGACGGCGTTGCAGATTCCGCCGACAGCGAACTCAATGAGACGTTCATTAGGCTCAGTTAAGCAGTCGATGAAAAGCTCTAAAACGTTGAGGTCACGAAGAATGGCGTAGTTGTAAGGATCGTAGGAGAAGTTAGCGAGATTAGCGACGATTTTTTCTTTGGATTCGTTGGAAATAGTGGAGTTTTGGAATTGGGTGATGAGTTGTTGAAGGTGTTGCGGTCTTGGTGTGCCGTATTTGCCTGTTCTCTCTGCTTGCCGTTTGTTGTTGGTGAACATTTTTTTTGTGATTGTTTGATTTGTTTCATTCACTTGAGAGGTTGGTTTTAGGAGGGAGGTTTTACATTTGGGTTGGCTAGATTAAACGAAGGGTATGGTTCGGGTTCGAGGTCAATTTAAGGTTTTTTTTTTTTTGGAAAATTTAACAACAAACTAACATTTGCCCCAATCTCTCAAAATGCACCAACCTTTAAATCTTCCCAAAATAAACAGAAATGTGCATTTTTTCTCCCAAAAAGAACCCAAATGACCAGTAACCTGTACAACCGGTCATTTTTTTTTAATTTTCCTTTAATTATTTTTTTAATTAAAGACCTTTAATTATTTTTTACAAATTAACAAAATAATTAAAAAAATTCAAATAAAAAAAAGACCATTTTCCCCTCACCCAGCTGCCTGCCACCCCCCTCCTCCACCTCTCCGGCCACCACTCCCCCTCCCCCTTCACGGCTTCCCCTCCCATTTTCGACCATCTCCTTTCCGGCTACCATTCCCCCTCCCCTTTTCACTGCATTTTCCGACCACACCCGCTCCCCATTAAACCCCCAAATCGACAATCCCTAAATCGGAAAAAAGTGTGAAATTGATGTAAACAGAAAGAAGAATTGGAAGATTGAAAAACACCATCATAAATCATAAAATCAATAAGAACAATAAAAAAAGGCAGCAAAATTCAAGAGTAAAGAAAACATACAGGAGCTGAAGAAGATGGATAAGAAGAAGATGTGAAGAAGAGTTTAAGAGTGCAAGGAAGAGGAGAGAGAAAATGACGGAAGATCGGGTATGACATTATGCTTCGTATACCCATCAAACCCGACCCGGACCCACCTCTTCCTCCTCTCTCAGCAACCGCCATTGTTGCACTTCTTCAGAGATCTCAATATACCCTTTTCAATGGATGATTTCAAACCCGAATTTCAGAATCTGGGTTTTTGCAATTATCAGCTCGCAGAGAAAAGGTGTATTTGAGTGTAAAATGAGAGTGAGAGTGAAGAAGATGATTTTGGGTTTGGTGGTCGGTATGTTGGTTTCTATGGTAGCTGTTGCTGGTAGTGTACATAGGTGGTGGTGTAGTAGGTGGAAGTGATGGTGGTGAAGGTTAAGGGGGTGGCCGGTTGGGGAGGAGGGTTGGTAGTGGTGGGAAAGGGTGATTTTGGGTTTTTTATTTTATTTTATTTATATATTTCTTTTTTTTTTTAAATTAACAAAATTAAAAAAAAATAAATAAATAAATAAAAAAATAAAAAAACCTTGCCCAATGATTTAATGACAAGTGGATTTTTATTTGATATAACAGGTAGGGTGACATGCTTGATTCATTTTGAGAGAAAAAATGCAAACTTCTGTTTATTTTGGGAAGATTTAAAGGTTGGTCTATTTTGGGAGAATGGGACAAAGGTTGGTTTGTTGTTGTTAAATTTTCTGTTTTTTTTTTCAAATAAGGTTTGTTTTATTAACCTGATTTATATTTAGGGTTTGTTTTTGTTCACCTAAATTTTACTTATTTCAGTTAATATTCATTTTATTTTAACAAGACTAATAAATTCAAAAAATAAAATTCTTATTTACTCAATTTTAATATTTCGGAAGTGTATTTTATTATAACCTATAAGTATGAAATAAATCCACTTTACATATCTTAAGTATTCATTCACATGAATATCACTTCCAAGTTCCACAAGTTTTCAAGGGAGCATCTCATTGTTTTGTAAAAATCCCGATCCGGATCTTACGGTCCTACGATTTTACGATTCGAAATTCCGTGATCGATCCGGATCTTTGGTAGGATCTTAAAGTTTATAGGATCTTACGATCCTACTCCGATATTAATTATGAGTGGTAGGATCTCAACACGATCGTACTCCGATATTAATTATGAGTGGTAGGATCTCAACACGATCCTACGATTTTATTACGATCCTACGATCCGATCCAACATTTTACTATAATTTGCAGATTTAAAATTTGTGTTTACAATCCCAATATCAATACTAACTTACACGAAGTATTAGACAAAGTAAATAAGTGCGATTGATAACCCTTTGTCAAACACAGAATTTACTAAACTGTAATGTGTCTATGACCAGAATAATTTGTATAAAAATCCTTCAAGATACACCTGTGCATACAAGTTTGAGTTTGACGGCCGCCAATAGTTTGGAGCTAATCAGAGTACTTGGATATCAACTTGTCAACATGAATGATGATATCATCAATGCGTGGTCGAACAGCAGCTTGAGGCTGAAGCATCCATGTCACAAACTGGTGAAGTGTATCAGGATATGGCGGCTTTGGTCCGGCTGGCCATTTTATCTGAACATTTACAATGGCCAATTGTAGGCTTCCACCAGATTCTCCCAACGCATACTCAAAGGGCGAGACACCATACCTGCAAATAGCAACATAGGTGATGTGACAAAAGATGTTTCTTTTTGCTAAACATATTATCATTCAAAATCCATTCACTCGGTTACTCAAAAATATTCAATCAGTCGGATTTCTCTCTCATTTTCCCACTTTTTTATCGGGTTATTCCTACATTGTAATCGTAAAGGTACTCTGTAGAATCATAAACGCAATGAAATCTAGCGGAAATTTGATGCAACAGGATCGAAAAGGAAACTTTACTCCATAAAATTAACAGAAACCAGACAGAGCAAGTTGCAATATAGTAATCAAAGTAAAGATATTGGTGAATGAGTCGCATTATGATCTTCACAGAGAAGGCCAAAACTGTGTGTTAAAAATGGTACTTACATTATTGCGTACAATGTGCATCCTAGTGACCATATATCAGTTCTTTCATCGATATTGCACTGACTTGGACAATCCCACAACTCAGGAGCACGAAAAGGGGCAGAACAGTGTTCAGCTGCCCATTCCTGCAAAATGTATCCCAATTTTTTAAGTACAATCAAGAACAAAATTATAAGAACAGAGAACCTAGTCCTAGTCCAACCACATCTCATCCCTTATCATAACCCTTATGTATGCAGACAAATACGCTACATAAGATGATGTTTATAAACCTAGCTATAATGATTATATAGATGAAATTTTTTTATCACCAGATCCAATCAGAAAGGGCATTCCACCATTACTAGACAGCAAAATAGTAGCAACCCTGCCTCTCATGCAAGCATAATAGATTATAAAACGGAGAAACAAGTGCCTCTGATACTTTAACAAGTACGGGAAATTATGAGGTTTCATACTCAGAAGGACAATACAAGGTATACAACATTTATGGAACTATTTTGTTGGGGACATAATGGAAGATGCAAAAGAACTAGAATAGAGATTAATTTCTTGATATTTTGTTGCCACAAGGAGGTAAATCTAGTAGATAACTCCACTCTTTAAGAAGCTCTTCTCTTATGTTTCAAATGTTTGAAAACTCAATAGCTTATGCTGTTACACAGCACAAAATGTTCATATTAGACAATTTGAGACAAGCATGCATTTGGTCAAGGGTCTACTCTAAATAGCCTAACTCCAGATAGTTGTATAGGTTAGCTTGGCTTCTTGCTTTAGCTTGATGCCATGATCTACTACATTCCATTTGTAACATATCATATGAGCACCTTTAGATTGGGCTACTATGCCTACTGATATTCCCAAAAAAGACACTAATGCACATTTACTAGACAGCTCCAAAGGTTAATTTGATAAAATGGAAACATTGACATCATAAAATCATCCCACTTCAGCATAAAGCCAGGACCCAGGAGGTGCTCGAAAATTTTAATATATAAATTTACAACTCATGGAATAATATGAACAATTCAACGGTCAACTTCAAAGAAATAAAGACAATTGCCTCAGCAAGAAGACATAAAGACGATTTAGCCTAGTGATCAATAGCTTCACTCAAGCATAAGCCTCACCATCAAAACTGATCTCATTTTCCAATCACTTCACTGATCACACTCTAAGAAACCAAAAATAAAACCACTAAGGACCCATCATCACTATGGATTTCAGTTCGGATTACAATTTTCTGTTCTATGATATGAAAATTTGTATGACTAACGGGCTTGAAATTAGTCATACTTAAACTAATCATGTTTACTTTACTGTTAACGTACGAGCCCTAATTATTCATACCCAAAAATCAAAATTCACAAAGAAATCAACCAAATCAACACCATCAAACTTCCCACAAAAATCCCACAATTTCAAACATCCTAAACCCACAAAATCATCATAAATGTCAACTAACTATAACAAAATTCAAATCCAAAATCAAACTTTCAACACAATATAAAACCATTGAAATTACTAGCAAATAGAAAAAGAGGGATAAAAATTTACCTCAACATGAAATTCATGTTTCCGAAATCTTGTCCAACAAAGCCTGAGCAAGATTAGCAAACCCATCAACCTGAGAATACTTACTAATCAAATCCACCACATTTTCCTTCTCTTTCAAATCAACCAAATCAACTAAATAATACAACCCCGCAATCGCATACTTGACCGTATTCCTCACCGGACTCGAAAGACAGTCAATCAACGCCGCAACACCGCCGCAATCACAAACAATCTGAGCATTTTGTGGGTCAGCGACGGCGTTGCAGATTCCGCCGACAGCGAACTCAATGAGACGTTCATTAGGCTCAGTTAAGCAGTCGATGAAAAGCTCTAAAACGTTGAGGTCACGAAGAATGGCGTAGTTGTAAGGATCGTAGGAGAAGTTAGCGAGATTAGCGACGATTTTTTCTTTGGATTCGTTGGAAATAGTGGAGTTTTGGAATTGGGTGATGAGTTGTTGAAGGTGTTGCGGTCTTGGTGTGCCGTATTTGCCTGTTCTCTCTGCTTGCCGTTTGTCGTTGGTGAACATTTTTTTTGTGATTGTTTGATTTGTTTCATTCACTTGAGAGGTTGATTTTAGGAGGGAGCTACGTTGCACAGATACCGACACGGACACGATACGAACACGGGAAAACGGCAATCCTGAATAGGGGACACGGGTACGGCGTATAACAAGGCATATAATATATCAAAAAAACGAGAATTTGACAACCTGTTCAATAAAACACTAAATATTTAGCCTCAAAACACACAAATCTGTTTAAACAAAGTAAATAAACAAAGTGTACGAACTAGAAGACATTCCTGACAATTTCAGCAAGACAACAATACAATTTCAGTTCTTCATGCTCATATCAAATGCATTAAAGTTCAATTAAACAAGTCCAACAACTCAACAAGTCCAGCAACACAGGCTATACATGATATCATATACAGTATACAGTAAAAATCAAATTTCAGTTCTTCATTCCCAAATTACATTACAGTATACATGAAGGATCAATTATGTACGCTTGTTCCTGATTCTAATCAAATTAAAGTTAAATTAATTGAATGTATAAAAAATTTCAGAAAATTAATTGAATTTAAAAAAAAATAAAAAGTAGAGAACCATACAGGCCCGTCCCTGAGGCAGGGCAGGAGGGGCGGCCGCCCTAGGCCCAGGGAAAAGAGGTTTGATTTCATATTGAATTATCTCGAAAAATACATAATTTTAGGGATACTTGATTCAATAATCAAATTACGCTCATAATTTTCTTTTCTTTTGGATATGATGTTTCATAATCTAAGAATTTGCGAACCCTAAACTTAAAGCACTGATAATTAAATTAGATTAGATCAAATATAAACCCTAGATTGTGAAATTGATGTGATGATAACAACAACAAACAACTTACCTTAGAAGCTGCTTCAATGGGGGTTACAAGAATTAGATTCAACGGAGAACGCTTCGATGGAGAACGTTGAGTGCGCTTCAATGGAGAACTTGAGTGCGCTGCAATGAAATAACTCAGAGACTTAGGACATAGGAATGGAGGCCTTTAAAAGCCATGACCCGCCATAGTTATAATATGGGTTAGACCCGTTTGATAAATAAATGAGGCGGATTTTTATATGATCGTCTAATTATGAGACAGATGGACTTTATAAAGGTTTTATGTAAATATGTTTAAAATATTTTTTGATATTTTCATATGTCGAAGCTTGTATCAATTCTTTGAAAGTTTTTAAGAGTTTTTTTTTTTTAAAAAAACAGCTGAAATTACATTAATTAAACTGAGTTTACAACAAACAAAAGGACAGTAACATAAGTTACTATTGGCATAAGAAGCCCTTACGCAATATCAATTAAGGTCATTAACGACACTTACTATTTAGCTATTACAACGAGTAAGGACAACGCATATAAGGCTTACCAATATACATTTAAACCCGCCTCCCCTAGCAACCGATAACAGCCAGTCGGCCCTTCTCTACCCCTAAAAACACTCTGGCGACCCACCTACACCATAGAAACCACCCCCCTTCCCCATCCCCCAAATAGCCTCTCTCTTCTCAGGTCGATGAAACTGCCCCTCCTCCCTTCCCTTTTCATTGAAACGACCGATTTTTTAGCTCCCTCAGTTGGAGATTATTGCCAAGAAATTAAATGTAGTTGTGTTACTCAAGGTTTTTGTGGTAGATTTTTTTAGATTTTTTTTTTTACAAAAAAATAAATAAATAAATGGTAGTTAGTTATTCTCAAAGTAGTCATTATAATGATAGTTGTTGGTAAAATTATCTTAAATTTTCACAAAATTACCCTATATCTAAAGTATAATACTCCCTTCTTCACTTTTTATTGGATACGTTTTGACTTTTACACGTTTGTCAATACACATATTTGATTATATTCATCACATACTTTTTAAAATTATAACGATTGAATATTAATAGAGCATTCGTTTGAGATGAATCAAACATGATCTCACATGGCTCTTTTACTTTCGTGAGTAAATTTAAATATTATCTAATTTCCTCTATCCCATAATACATGACACAGTCAATATTGCACGCATGTCAATGCATTACTTTGAATTTATTTGTATATAATTAATTATTATGAAAATTATTTTAAAATTATATTTTGAAACTTTATATATATACCTATTTAACAACATATTTTATGATAAAATAAGTTTTTATTATGTTAGTAAAAAAATATGATCAAAACTAATACATATATAGTGACAAAAGTCCAACGTCTCATATATTTTGGGACAGAATGAGTATTATGAATAACCTTTAAAATCTAAACATAACCAATAAAAAGAAACGGTTGTAGTATTATGAATAATATTTAAAATCTGATAATAACCAATAAAATACGGAGGGGTACCCTACAAAATTTATCATCCTAAAGTTTTTGTAAAAAAAAATCATCCTAAAGTAATTGAAACACTTTAATATACATTTTGTTGATACATAACATTATTTTACCTTTAATAATTTTGATCATATATTTATTATAATTAGTTGATACTATGAAATTTTATACAATGTATCAATTTTTTTGTGCGTATTATTTATAGAATTCAAGTCAATCTCCTAACAAATTATGCCTATTAAAGTGATGCGCACTTTAAAAATTGGAGGAATCAATTTCACAAGTGATTCCTTCATCTACCATATTCACGGTAGATGTGCTAGGATTTCCATCCTTAGCTCCTTCCATGGCACGAATCCCTTCTTCAATTTGAAGATGGGTGGCCAAACCGGACAAAGTCATGTCCTCCTTTTTATGTTTCAAGTCATGCTTCACATTTTTCCAACTAGGGGGTAATTTATCAATAATGCTAGAAACAACAAACAACTCATTCATAGCAATACCATGTTGTTCCAAGCTACCATAGATACGTTGCAACTCATGAAATTGGTCCATTATGGACCGACCATCAACAAACTTATAATTATTAAAATTGCTAACTAAGAATTTCTTACTTGATGCATCTTCCGCCATGTATTTGCTCTCTAAGGACTCCCAAAGCTCCTTAGCCGACTCAATGTTTTAATAGACATCAAAAAGATCATCCTCCATCCTATTCAAGATGTGACCACGACAAATGAAATCGTCGTTGTCCCATTTCGATCTTTTCCGAACACTCTCCAAGGTCTCATTCTCATGTTCACCCGGCCTTGGAGTGCTTATCACATAGACAACATTAAGAGATGTAAGAAGAAAATACATTTTCTTTTTCCACCTCCTAAATTCAACACCGTCAAACTTCTTAACAAAATTAGTTGTTAATTCCTTCACACTAGACATACTTGAAAAATTCTAAAAGTTAAACCTCTTTAGATTGTTAGGTTTTACAGTGATTTCAAACTAGAAAACACTTAAATGTGTGTGGGAACAAAACCTATGAAAATATGATTACAATATAATAATGTTATGTAAATCAACAAATACTTCAAAAGTATTACAATCAAGTATTAATATCTAAGAAATTACAGAAAATTTCTAAGACTACACTAATGTGAAGATAATCAAACTTGCCTTAACTCCAAGCCGTACAAACCACGCATGAACATGAGAATTCCGATGTCCCGTAAGACTACGACCTTGATACACTGTCTAAGGCGTGTAAACACTTTCCTAAAGAGGTTTATTTCTCCCACACGGTGCTTGGGTTTAACCGAAAATCCTCTTTGAGATACAATAGACAGCAATTTCGTTCTTAGCACAAAGAATCGAAATCAAGATGAATAATTCACAAAAAAGGCTAAAAATCAAGAGTATTTCTCACAAAAGTTTGCAAGAAGTTTGAGAGAAATTATGGAGAAAACTTAGGGAGAGTTCAAGAGAATAATGTTCTGTATATTTCTTGTTCGAAAAACCAAGTCTTATAATAATAGACTCAACCGACGCAAAAACCGCAAAACGGCAAGAAGCGCGGACGCGCCACTCTTCTTTGCCCAAATTCCTGAGTTTCCAGAAAACTGACGCGATTTTGTCGCACTTTAGACGCGGGCCGCGCCATACGGGGGCGCGGGCGCGCCACTCGGAGGAGCGGGCGCGCCTCCAAAATCCGCCAGAATTTCCGAAAAACCCAACGCGATTTTGGCGCGGTTACATCGCGGGTCGCGCCTAGCTAGCACGAGCGCGATTAATCAGTAGAGCGGGCGCTCCACTGCGACACTCTAAATTATCAACAATCCTCCCCCATTTAGAGTGTCCCTATAAACATTCTCCAATTCTATCAATTTAGCCACATCTCATGCATCAATGTCAATGTCCCTACGGATTGAATTGACACCTAGTACAACACACTTAACGATGATCATATCTCATGATTTCCATATGGATTGAATCACACGGATATATCCAACCATTCGAAGGTGAAGTACACACAAGACAAATCGAATCAATCATCACTTGACACTTTTAAACAACCATGTGTCCGTATCTTTCATAAGTTCATTAAAGTCTATATGTCCATCTAGACTTCTTGAAGCGGCTAAACTTCAAACTTATGTAGGTAGGTTCTCATATACGTGTATGTGCCCTTGTGACAAGACACTTTCATTTAGAGCTTCTCAACTTTAAATCTTTGAGAACTTTAAATTGACGCTACCTTGTACATCACAAGTACCATAGAATATGGGTCATCAAACATTGCTAACAAACAACAAAAATGCAATTCAACCACATTGAATCTAAGACTTGATGTTTCTTCAAGCGTTAGATTAGGTTTCACAAATTCGTGTTTTTGGACATAAACCCATTCCATTCATGGCAAATATGATGGAATGCTTTGGCATAGCCTTTGTAAGGCAATCCGCCAAATTTAACTTTGTTGGAACATAGTCAAGACTTATGACCCCATCATTAATAAGCTCTTTCACTAGGCTATGCCTAAGTGAAATATGCCGAGACTTACCATTGTACACTTGACTATAAGCCTTTATCAACGCCGAATTGGAATCACAATGGATTGCCACCGGTAGCATTGGCTTAGGCAATAAAGGAAACTCTATCATGAGATTTCTCAACCACTCAGCTTTCTTACTAGCTGAAGCAAGAGCAATAAACTCCGCTGCCATAGTGGAATCCGCAATGCAAGTTTGTTTTTTGGAAGACCATGAAATGGCACCTCCCCCAAACATGAATACCCAACCACTTACATAAGAGTCATCCTCTTTGTAAGTGATCCAACTTGCATCAGAATATCCTTCTAAAACTGAAGGAAATCTACTATAAGATAGACCATAGTCTAACGTACCCTTAAGGTACCTCAAGACCCTCCGAACTGCAAAGCAATGCTGTGCACCTGGGTTACTAGTAAATCTACTTAGTTTCCCCACAGCCAATGCAATATCTGGTCTTGTACTAGTCATGGCATACATCAAGGATCCAATTATCCTTGAATATTCCAATTAGGAAACCGTTTTCCCCGAATTCTTAACCAATTTAACATTAGGTTCCATGGGGGTGTTCACGGGACACTTATCAAACATATTAAATCGTTTGATCATCTTCTCAATATAATGAGATTGACTTAGGATAAGTCTTCCATTGCCCCTAATAATCTTTATTCCAAAAATGACATCCGCCTCCCCCAAATCCTTCATCTGAAAAGATGAGGATAAGAATTCCTTGGTCAATTCTACTTGTTGTAGACTTGTACCAAAGATAAGCATATCATCAACATATAGACAAATGATGACACCATGACTTTTGTCATCAAATTTGCTATATATACACTTATCAGCTTGATTCACTTTGAATCCAAAGGACAAAATTGTGTCATCAAATTTTCGATGCCACTGTTTTGGTGCTTGTTTAAGTCCATACAATGACTTAACCAATTTGCACACCTTATCTTCTTGTCCTTCCAAAACAAACCTTTCGGGTTGTTTCATGTACACTTCTTCCTCTAGATCTCCATAAAGGAATGCCGTTTTGACATCCATTTGATGAATCACTAGATTATATACCGAAGCCATTGCAATCAATAACCTTATGGAGGTAATTCTTGCAACCGGTGCATAGGTATCGAAATAATCAACACCATGCTTTTGCCTAAAGCCTTGGATAACCAATCTGGCTTTAAATTTCACTATGGAGCCATGCGGTCTCCTTTTCCTAGTGAAAATCCACTTGCAACCAAGAGGTTTGCAACCGGGAGGTAAATCCTCTATGACCCAAGTATTATTTCCCATGATGGAATCCATCTCATCATTTATACCTTCCTTCCAAAATGCACTATCTTGACTAGATATTGGCTCGCTATAAGTCTTTGGGTCACTATCCACATTGAAACAATATAGAGTAGTAGAACTAAGGACATCCCTAGATCCTTCAACCAAATAAATTATGAAGTCATCTAGAGGATTCCTAATTTTCCTTTCTCTAGTACTTCTCCTCACTTGAGGAGTTTCAACATTCTCATTATCGAATGTACTTTCATGAATTTCAAGTTGATCATTTAACTCTACTATATCCTTATCATTAGCACTGATTTGTAGATCTTTCGGTCTACTCATTGATGAAAATCGATTTTCATCAAAAATTGCATCTCTTGACTCAATAACCGAATGAATCGATATATAGTCATTTTGTTCTATTACATAGAACCTATAGGTTTTGCTATGCTCAGCATAACCTATAAATATGCAATCCAAGCCCCTTTCACCGAGCTTTCTTTTCTTGTTGTCGGGCACTCTTACGATTGCCCTACAACCCCAAATCTTGAGATACTTCAAGTTTGGTTTTCTTTTGTACCATAGTTCATAAGGAGTAGATTGTTTTCCCTTAGTAGTGATATGTCGTGTTTTGTGTATATTATTTGGCTTATTTTTAGTTAGTTTTGTTAGTTTAGTTGAGTATTTGAGTCCGTTTTGGTGTAATTTGGTTTAGTTTCGATGATTCGATGCTTTTATGGGTAGTTTCGTTGTTTTTGATGTATTTCAGGATTAACGGAGCTAATTTGGAGATTTTACGAAGTCACGAAGCTATGCCGAGGCCCACGAATATTAAATCATGTGTTCGAGACGAACTTGAGTGAAAATGAAGCAAAACGTTGATGAAATACTTGACAAATATGACATCTGTTCACTATTATGCTCATAACTTTTAGTATACAAATGATAATGGAGTGATTCAAATTTCATTGGAAAGTAGACTTGAAGACCTTTCCAACGATATATTACACGTCTCAAACGGAGCTCCGGATATGAAGTTATGACTGATTTAAGATGAGTGATACGCGCAGCAGAGCAGGCACGTCCGTGCCCAGCATCAGGCACGTCCGTGCCTGGAAGACAGAAGCTGCAACAACTTTGCTACGTACAGAGGCACGTCCGTGCCTATGGAGAGGCACGTCCGTGCCTCCTGGGATCCTTGTGCGCCAAGCTTTTTGCCGACTTTCTTATCTTTTCTAGGGCTATTTTTATACTAAGTGGTGTTTTATTATTTCATTAGTTTTATTCTAGCCTTTTATTTTTACGTTATTAAGAACTAGTTCTCCATTATTATTTTCCAAGTTTTTGTAATTCAAGATTCAAGATTCAAACTTTCTACTTTCAATTTTATTCAAGATTTGGTATTTATTTTTCATCCTTTGTTATTTAATTATGTTTTCATTATTTATTATTGTTTTTGTATCTTTAATCATGTGTGAGTAGATTCTTTAATTCAAGATCTAGTGTAGCCCAATTATTATTAATGCATGAATTAAATCTTTAAATTCTTTAATAACTTTAACAATTGAATTGCTAAATTGATTGTGATTATGCCAATGCTAGGTTAGACGTAACTATAGTATTGCGATTATTCCATTGTTTTTATCACAGCGAGAGTTGGGTATAAACGGATTTGAGTAAATCAATTTAGGGTTTGATTCTCAACACGAGAGTAGTTTGGTTTGATAATTGGGAAGTGAGAGTAATGTGTTTAATGTCTCTAATATGCATGATACCATGAGAATAGGATTGATTGTATGTTAGGGAAGCCATTGATACTCGAGAGAGATCGTTATTAGGGTTTACTTTTCCCCGTTCAATTGAAATCGTATGTTAAGGGTAGAATTACAATTGCATCGATAATAGTTGTGGTGAAGCTAGATCTTGGATGTTTTTAATTGCTTGATTTAATCATCTTAATTAGTTTATTTTCGAATTTTTCCTATATTTTAGACCCTTAGTTATCGATTATACTTGATTTTTGCTTAGTAAAGATTTGAGTCTAATTAATTGTTTCTGAACCTTAGTCTCTTGGGATCTGACCCTTACTTGCCAGTCTACATTAGTATTGGTCTGTTAGGTTATTTTTGATAGGTACGCGACACGCCTACCAAATTTTGGCGCCGTTGCCGGGGACTAACGGTTTCATTAGATTATTTGTGATTCATTTTTGCTAGGCTTATTTCGTTGCTTCAGCTATTTTCTCTTGTGTTTTTGATACTCTTTCTCTAGTTTTCTTGTTGGATGCCCACACGAAGCTCAGGTTCGGAAGATCTAGTACCTTTTGATTCTGAAATCGAAGCAACCGCACGAAGACGAGCAGGTAGAAGAAGAAGGAGAAATCAAACCAATAGAAACATGACAGACGCCACGAAATCCCTTTTGGAGTACGGTATTCCTGATACGACTACTTGACTTCTTTCTAGCATTGTCAGGCCACCTGTAACGGCTCAGCACTTCGAGCTTAAGCCACAATTCATTCGATTTATCTCTAATGATTCATTCGCAGGCTTACCGCATGATTGTCCGGTAAGTCATATTGATAGTTTTCTGGAGAAATGTGATACAATGAAAATGAATGGTGTAACAGATGATGCTATTAGACTACGCCTTTTCCCCTTCTCATTACGGGATAGGGCAAAGGAGTGGTTGAAAGATGAAGGCGCTGGCTCGTTCGATATGTGGGACAAGCTAGTGAAGGCCTTCTTAGTGAAGTTTTTGGGACACGAGAAGACTGCTAGGTTGAGGAATGAGCTATTCACTTTTAGACAGTCAGATGATGAGTCTCTCTATGAGGCTTGGAGAAGGTTTAAGAGGCTACAGAGACAATGCCCTCATCATGGCATTCCAGAGTGGATATTAATTCAAACCTTCTATAATGGCATGACTCATGAGTTCAGAATCTATATTGATGCTGCGTCAGGAGGCTCTCTCTTGACAAAGAACCCCACTGAAGCAAAGGAACTTATAGAGAAGATGGCAGCCAATGATAACTATCATCCAGGAGGCCGAAATACTGTGAAAAAGGGAGGTAAACTTGATGTTGATGCCTTAACTATGCTAACCAGTTCTGTGCAGGCACTAACAAGCAGGTTTGATAAGTTCCAAGCTGGAACCTCTACTAGCCCACAGGAGTTGTGTCAATTGTGTAATGTGCAGGGTCATATTGCACCAGATTGCCCACAGATTTCGCAGAATACAGGTGAGATGTCCATTGAACAAGCCAATGCTTTCTACTCCTCAAATCCTAAAAATCCTTATGATCCTTACTCAAATTCCTATAATGAAGGTTGGAAACACCATCCAAACTTATCATACAAGAACACCCAAGCACAGCAGAATCCATCACCACCACCCCAACCCAACAACTACAACCAACCACTACCCGGTTTCCAACAAAGACCATCCGTGAACCAACAACCAATGTAACCACAACCCCAAAAATATAGCCTTGAAGTGATGATAGAAATCTTTATTACCACAACCAATAGTGCTATCCAACAACAAGGTAACTTCATCCAACAGATGCAAGCCCATAGTAAGCTCATGGAAAGCCAAATAAGCCAACTTTCACAACAGGTGAGTCGCCTATCAACTCTTCAAGATCAAGCAAAGGTTCAAAAAGAACAATGCAATGCTGTTTTCTTGAGAAGAGATGAAGCCTTTCCAAGGCAAATTGTTGAGAAGGTGTGTAGTGAGGAGTCTAGAAAAGACGAAAAGGGCAAAGATGTTCAAAGCTCCAAATATGTGGCTCCACCGGCTTATGAGGAACCGATGCCTTTCCCGCAACGGTTGTCAAAAGTCGTGCTCGATAGACATTTTGGCAAATATTGTGAAGCCCTCAAGAAGGTACACGCTTCTACTCCCTTTTCTGATCTTTTAGTTTAAATGCCTCAATTTGCAAATTTTGTAAAGAATATCAAAGATCAACATGAGGATAAGGAAGTAGCACATAAGAAGGGCCCTACTCTCTTATACGATAACCTACCACCTAAGCTGCATGATCCCGGTAGTTTCACTATTCCCTGCACGATAAACGAGAAATTTTTCGATAGGGTTCTATGCGATTTAGGTGCTAGTGTTAACTTAATGCCCTATTCATTATATGAGAGTTTAGGCTTGCAAGGACTTAGGCCTTCCCCTATTTCTCTTCAATTGGCTGATAGGACCTCTAGACTCCCTGAGGGTGTGGTTGAAGATGTATTAGTTAAGGTTGGTGAACTTGTTTTTCCTGTTGATTTTGTTGTTACGGACATGAAAGAAGACCATAAGATCCCGATTATATTTGGTCGTCCATTCCTTGCCACAAGTCAAGCTTTAATAGATGTTCCTAAAGGACAAGTAATCATTAGGGCCCAGGATAAACAAGTCATGTTCAAGCTCTTTGATGAACATAATTCTATATTTGATGGTGGTACTTGCTTAAGAATCGATGCTACTAACCCTTTGTTTGATAAGTATGTATTTGATAGAAATTTCGTGAGAAGCAAGGACAAAATTCCACCCGATGATGTGCTTGGCCACATGAAGGTGAGTTCGGATATAAGGCAGGTAAACAATAAAATGAAGGAGTCACTTGGAGGCAATCATTCCCTTGGGCAACATTGCGGAGTTCCCCCTTCGTGTGGTGATCCCGGTTGAGCCAACAAGGGAGGTCGAGCTATAGACCTTTTAAACAAGCGCTAAATGGGAGGCAACCCATTCTCGAGTTCTTACTCTTATTTCGTTAATTTTTCTTCTTTAATTTCATTATTTTTCTTGATTTTTTTTGGTTTTGATTCTTATAACTAGTTTTTGATTTGTCTGTGGTTTTTTACATAGGTGAAAAGTAAGCAAAAAGAAGAAGAAACAAGGAAGAAATGCGCAAAGAAGAAGGAAAAAATGAGAAAATCACATTTCTGCAGAGGCACGACCGTGCCCCTGAGGAGGCACGTCCGTGCCTCGAAGGCAGAAACTTTGGGGACTATTTTTCTAGAGAGGCACGTCCGTGCCTCAGCTCGTAAAAAAAAAATAAAATAAAAATAAAAATCTACAGAGGCAATTTCAAGGCGGTCCTAGCACCGACCCGAGGTATGGCTTTCCCCCCACCCCTCCTGATCAGTAGGTTGTTTCCCCTTCCCCTTGTTCATTTACCACTGTTATATGCATACATTGAGGACAATGTATGATTTAGCTTGGGGGAGGATATGCTTTTCACCTTGTATATATTAGATTTATTTCAGTTTTTGGGTAGTTTATTTCTTTCTAGTGTCGAATAATATGCCATTGCATGACTATGCTTCTATGATTATAATCACATATGTGTGCTTTTTGAAAGAAAAAAAAAGAGTTTTTGAAAACCCATTCATTGATGTGCTTGGATTTGAGCTAGGTTGTGGCCAGGATGGTCTCCCCGCTTTACTTATGTGAATAGTTTGTGTACCCGGTGAGAGTCTTGAGCCTTATATGACTGATTTCACTCTACCTCAGTCATTTTTCTTCTTGTGTGATTAGATTGTCCTTCATATAATCGAATTCTTGGTCTTGCTTTTTGACTATTTGAGACTTTATGATGCATGTCGCGAAAAGATGATTGAAATTTCCTTGTAGAAATTAGAGCCTCCACATTTTAGGCCTTCATGTTTTTTCTTGTTGTTTTTATTTATTTTTATTTTACATTCACCCGTAGGTTGAACCAATTTGAGCCATATTAACCCCTTCTTGATACCCTACATTTAAAGCTTTAGAGCTATTTTTCTAGGTTTATTTTGAAGGTGTTTTACATTTGTTAAGCCCTATAAGTGTGAATGATGTTGAAAAAAAAAAACGAAAAAAAAAAATGAAAAAAAAAGGAAAAAAAAAGAAAGAAAACAAAGAGAAAAGAAGGGAGATTATGAGAAAGAAAAGGAAGAAAGAAGAAAAAAAAAAAGAAGAAAAGAAATATGGTCTCAAAGGCCTTTGAAAAAATAGAGGAGTCTTCCTTTTTTTTTTTTTAATCCCTTCCTCTTTGTGTGAAGGAAAAAAAAAAGGAAGGAAAGAATAAAGGGCTATGTTTATAATTGTATGAAGTTGGAGGAAATAAGGTTGGCTTGAACCCGACATTTGAATGTGTAGTGGGATTAGAATTTGTTATATTTTGAGCACCACATTCCCAAATTACGTCGTCCAACCCTTATTTACCGAGCTTACCCTTTATGGATTTCATGATTTTCGTAATTGCATCAGTCACTAAAAGTGGAGAAAGTCACATTGCAAGCCTAAAGAGGCCAGTTGTGTGAAGTTGATATGCATGCTATGCTTAGGTTGAGTGGCTTCATATTTCACCCCGAAAACACATGAGCATTATTGTTTTTATTTTTCACAACTAAAGTGAGAACTATTCATGTTTGTGTGAGTATGTATGGGGAGATGTGTGGTAAGATTGGTTGTCAAGTCCAAGTATATGAGATGAATGGTGGTTTTTGTGCATGTTGACTCTTGATTTCGTTTTTTTATCGTGGTTTTGAACTTGATGGCACATTGTGATTGTTTGAGGAGTTGTCATTCTCCTCCTTTGTGATTCATGGTTAAATGCTTGAGGACAAGCATTAGTTTAGCTTGGGGGAGTTTGATATGTCGTGTTTTGTGTATATTATTTGGCTTATTTTTAGTTAGTTTTGTTAGTTTAGTTGAGTATTTGAGTCCGTTTTGGTGTAATTTGGTTTAGTTTCGATGATTCGATGCTTTTATGGGTAGTTTCGTTGTTTTTGATGTATTTCAGGATTAACGGAGCTAATTTGGAGATTTTACGAAGTCACGAAGCTATGCCGAGGCCCACGAATATTAAATCATGTGTTCGAGACGAACTTGAGTGAAAATGAAGCAAAACGTTGATGAAATACTTGACAAATATGACATCTGTTCACTATTATGCTAATAAATTTTGGTATACAAATGATAATGGAGTGATTCAAATTGCATTGGAAAGTAGACTTGAAGACCTTTCCAACTATATATTACACGCCTCAAACGGAGCTCCGGATATGAAGTTATGACTGATTTAATATGAGTGATACGCGCAGCAGAGCAGGCACGTCCGTGCCCAGCATCAGGCACGTCCGTGCCTGGAAGACAGAAGCTGCAACAACTTTGCTACGTACAGAGGCACGTCCGTGCCTATGGAGAGGCACGTCCGTGCCTCCTGGGATCCTTGTGCGCCAAGCTTTTTGCCGACTTTCTTATCTTTTCTAGGGCTATTTTTATACTAAGTGGTGTTTTATTATTTCATTAGTTTTATTCTAGCCTTTTATTTTTACGTTATTAAGAACTAGTTCTCCATTATTATTTTCCAAGTTTTTGTAATTCAAGATTCAAGATTCAAACTTTCTACTTTCAATTTTATTCAAGATTTGGTATTTATTTTTCATCCTTTGTTATTTAATTATGTTTTCATTATTTATTATTGTTTTTGTTTCTTTAATCATGTGTGAGTTGATTCTTTAGTTCAAGATCTAGTGTAGCCCAATTATTATTGATGCATGAATTAAATCTTTAAATTCTTTAATAACTTTAACTATTGAATTGCTAAATTGATTGTGATTATGCCAATGCTAGGTTAGACGTAACTATAGTATTGCGATTATTCCATTGTTTTTATCACAGCGAGAGTTGGGTATAAACGGATTTGAGTAAATCAATTTAGGGTTTGATTCTCAACACGAGAGTAGTTGGGTTTGATGATTGGGAAGTGAGAGTAATGTGTTTAATGTCTCTAATATGCATGATACCATGAGAATAGGATTGATTGTATGTTAGGGAAGCCATTGATACTCGAGAGAGATCCTTGGTAGTTATTAGGGTTTACTTTTCCCCGTTCAATTGAAATCGTATGTTAAGGGTAGAATTACAATTGCATCGATAATAGTTGTGGCGAAGCTAGATCTTGGATGTTTTTAATTGCTTGATTTAATCATCTTAATTAGTTTATTTTCGAATTTTTCCTATATTTTAGACCCTTAGTTATCGATTATACTTGATTTTTGCTTAGTAAAGATTTGAGTCTAATTAATTGTTTCTGAACCTTAGTCTCTTGGGATCCGACCCTTACTTGCCAGTCTACATTAGTATTGGTCAGTTAGGTTATTTTTGATAGGTACGCGACACGCCTACCAAGTAGGAACCCGATTAAGAATGTGACATACAGTCAACATTGCTTCACCCCAAAACCCTTTACTCAAACTAGAGTAAGATAACATAGAATTAACCATTTCTTCAAGAGTTCTGTTTTTCCTTTCAGTTACACCATTTGATTGTGGTGCATAACCAGCTGTAGTCTCATGAATTATACCCAAAGATTGGAAATATGTTGGATCATAGTATTCCCCACCCTTATCAGTTCTTATTCTCTTAATAAATGAATCTACTTGCAATTCTACTTCTCTTTTATAAATATCGAACTTTGTTAAAGCTTCATCTTTGGAATGCAAAAGATACACATAACAAAATCTAGAATAATCATCAATAAAAGTAACCATGTATCTTTTGTTCCCCAAATAAGGAGTACTATGAAAATCACACAAGTCACTATGGATTAGTTCTAAAATATTAAAACTTCTCTCAACTCTCTTAAAAGGAGTTCTAGTGATCTTGTTCAACATGCAAGTAGAACACTTATTAGGAGAAATATCACAAGAAGGAATCAATTCTTGTTTTGACATGAAAAGCATCTTATTATAATTCACACGTCCTAATCTTGAATGCCATAAATCAAATAAACTCAAATCAACATGATTATCATTGACATCAACATTCAAACATAAACCATCATCAAATACATACTTGTCTTTCAAAGAAAGTTTAAACAAACCATTATCTAAGTAACAACGACCTATAAACGTTACACCCCTAGTAATTATGCATCTAGTAGCTTCAAATACAAGTTTATAGCCAAGACTATTCACGGAAGGCCCATACACAAGATTTCTACTAATTTCCGGAGCATACAAAACATTCCTAAGAAGAATTGCAGTCCCTGAACTAAACACAAGCTCAACTTGCCCTCTTCCAAAGACCTTGATGGTAGAATTGTTCCCCATGTAGAGGTCTTCTCAATCAACAACCTTTTGAAAGGTTTTGAACCAGTGTTTACTCTTGCACACATGCCTTGAAGCCCCCGAATCAATCCACCATGAGTCATCATCCTGCACCATAAAAATGTTAGGATCCGTTGCATTTAAATCCAAACCGGAATTAAATTCAACCTCATGAAATGGATTACCTTTGGTGGATGGGTCCTTGCTAGTGTTAGCACGACCCTCCTTGGCTTTCTCCATTCTTTTCTTGAAAGAAAAGCAGTCCTTCTTGCGGTGACCAACCTTACCGCATTCCCACAAGCAAATTTATTGTTGTTTGCTTGCTTTTTGGACTTTCCCTTGGAAGAATTATTATTCTTCCTCTTGAAGCTAGTAGAAGCACTAGTCCTTCCTTCATCTACCATATTCACGGTAGATGTGCTAGGATTTCCATCCTTAGCTCCTTCCATGGCACGAATCCCTTCTTCAATTTGAAGATGGGTGGCCAAACCGGACAAAGTCATGTCCTCCTTTTTATGTTTCAAGTCATGCTTCACATTTTTCCAACTAGGGGGTAATTTATCAATAATGCTACAAACAACAAACAACTCA